ACAGATATCAATAATATAGATTACTGTTTACAAATGTGAAGTAAGACTGCTGCAGTTGACAGATACCCATTAGGATTTATTTGAGGTAACTTTTTAATGGATTCAAAGTATAATAACGATCATTGAAGGATAAGATAATCCTCTTCAGTGCCACATCAGTGCATTCTCTTGGTAATATTGTAGAATTTAATACAATAATCTGATAATGTAATAAATCTTATGGTAATGCAAATAAGAGGAAGTATATTGCAACAAAAGGACCCAAGTAATTTCTTTATATTTATTAACTTATGTACTGCTGCTTTCTGTATGGCTTACTGTAGTAATGTTACCAATTTTTTGTGTTTGATCATGGTTCACAAGTATTAAGTCACCAGACAGATGTTAGGTCAGTGGTAGTGAGAATATCTAATCTTTAATGTCAATGATAAGTGGCTGCAAAAGGTAATTGCTTGTCCCATACAGAGTACTGCTAATCTGTTTGACAACATCCTCCAGTTTACGAATTGAGGGACATTCAATTTGTAAACCATGAGTTTCCCATTATATGTTCATGAGACGTTTTTTGTATATCATCAGCTGTAGATCACATTACCAGCATTTCCCAAACCTTTTTTTTTTTTCCAGACAACCTGCATGTGTGGAAGGTTAAGAAAAGGTGACTAAGAATCATGTTACTTTCTTAACCCTGCACTGGAGGAGCCGGCGTACCAAATATGCCAATGGCATCTTTTGGGCTGTAATTTTTAGACAACCCTTTCCTGAGCTTCCTCTCTTCCTCCTAGAAACATTTCATGAGTGCAACACATCTGGTATTTCTGATCAGTCTGGCTTTCGCCTTCCTTCCGAAAGCAGTTATTGTGAACATGTTGCATAGTCGAATGCAGTACGCTGCTCCTCCAAGTATATACAGAAAGAATATTGTACCTCCTGAAGATTTGTGCATTTTAGAAGAAGTCTTGGTTGATGAAGACTCCGACAATTTGGATAACGCATCTGATGTCGATGAATCGGAAGTCATCGAACATTCTGATCATGAAAGTGACTCAGAAATTGAGGGCAATGTTTCTAAACATCCTCAATTTCCTTCCTCAAATGATGTTTCCCCAACAAATGATGATTTTAGTGATGTTAAAAATGACATATATGGTTTAAAATATGAGGACTTTTTTGTTAAAACAATTTACAAAAAGAAGAAAGTTGGAGGAAAGTTTCTAAAAGAAAAAAGGAAACTTATAAGTGGAATAAAAATCCCCTCAAGAGCAAATTTGCCAGAACGTCTCGAAAAAATTTGATGAAAAAAATATTCCCAAATATTAAAACTTGTGACGATATAAATGATGAATTTCTGCTTTCCAGAAAATCATAAATACAAATATGATTGATGCTATCGTACAATATACAAATATTTATCTCAAATGTAACAGGACTGCAGATAATCTCCAAAACATCTAAAAAAGAAGCATGTATGATACTAATAAAGCAGAAATATTGGCCTTTTTAGGAATTTTATTCTTATTAGTGCGCAAAAAGAAAATCTCAATTTGGCGGAAGCATGGGCAAAAGATGATACTGGAATTGAAATTTTGCAAGGGGTCATGGGTCTCAAGCGATTCAGAAACCTGTGTGCTGCTATTAGATTCGACGATACAGGCACAAGGTATGTGCGAAGAAAAACTGATAAGCTTGCTGCACTAAGAGAATTTTTTTAATCTTTCAATCAGAACTGTCAAAACTTTTATACACCATTGGTCACGAACTCGCAATCAACGAGAAGCTGGAACCCTTTCACGGAAGATGCTCTTTTATTCAATTCATCTGCAACAAGCCTGCAATGTACGGTCTGAAAATTTTTTGCAGTTGTTGACTCACGAATGTTTTATACATTGAAGCTTGAAATTTATTGTTGCAATCAACCCCCAAGATCTTAAGAGGCTTTTAATTCAAGTATTGACATTGTCAAAACTTGAATTGGTGTGTACAAAGGTTCCAACCGTAACCTGACAACCGATTATTGGTATACAAGCTACCTGCTAGCTCAATATCTTCTTACCAAAGGTATAACACTTGTGGGTACGCTGAAAAAAAAAATAAAAAGGAAATTCCAAATGAATTCTAGCCATCAAAAACATGAGAAGTCGGCAGTTCACTGTTTGGTTTTCAAAAGGATTGTTTCATATGCAACGAAAAAATAAGTGTGTAATACTGCTCAGTACTTTACACGATGATGACAAAATTGACCAGGAAACGAAGAAACCCCACATAATCCTGGATTATAACAAATGTAAAGGCACAGTTGACACCGTAGACCAACTTTGCAGTAATTTTACTGTCGCTCGAAAAACCAAGATGGGGACAATGGCAATATTTTTTGCACTGTTAAATGTAGCAGGCATAAATTCGTAAGTGCTCTTGAATTTCGCCAAACCTGATGCAACCATCAAGTTTAGAAGATATTTTTTGAAAAATCTAGTTACATCTTTGATGAAACCACATCTTCAGAATCATCTAAAAATGCCATTTCTTCTGTTGCATTCCAAAGTTATTGCCTGGTAACAACAGACAGCCAAAAAAGACAAGGATCCACCTGCAAAAAGGATCAAAGGATGTTGCCCTGAGTGCAGTAGAATGAAGAATAATTACACTACCACAAAATGCTCTGAGTGTTCTAAGTTTACCTGCAAAAATCATCTGGGCAAGACAGTACAACTTTCCAAACCCTGCTGCAGTGAACAGGGACAATCTGAAAAGGATTAAAGTAGTGAAAGGTTTTAAATTTTTTCATTTGTGAAATTTATTACTTACCGAATTTTTCTTTATGGAATATTTATAATTTGTAAATTTGATTTATGATCTTGTAATTTTCATACAAAAAATAACATAGAGTATTATATAACTTTAAATTACATTTCCAGTGCATTCCATTTTCTGAATTAATTAAAAATTCGTAATTTCTATCTTTACTGCTTTTTTTTTTTTTTTTTTTTTTCTGTTATTCTTTTTCTTATATCCTTTTTACTATGGCGAATCACCTTATTAATGTAATTTATAAGATTAAATAGTTTCAAACACGAAGCAGAGGCTTGAAAAACACCTCACATACTTCATAGGCCACCCCTCTAAAATTGTACCATATGTCAGCCTCTCCAGCTGAGGGTTAATGTTTGAAATATTGATGAGTTCTGCTGAAAATAAGACACTGTTTTATAAAGCTTGAAGAAATGCGTTGCTTTGCAAATGTTTTTTGCCGGCAGTTTTTGTCATATTTTGCGGGCAGTGTTTCACTCCAATGTGTTGCATGGTTTTTCAGTGCTCTGATCAATTTATGCAGGAAAAGAGTAGGTGTTGCCATTTGAAAATTTCAAAGATTTTCCACTGTAACCATAAGCTTGAGAGCTCTGTTGTTTTATGTCATTGCAATCTTGAGCACATACCTTCAAATAACAATATCTGAAATTTGATTTCGATTATTTGAGTGCATCGGTCAGTAGGGTTCATATATTGGCAAAGTTTTTTTTTTATGAGCTGTCTGTGTTTAAGTACACATTTTGCTAAAAATTATATGTACCCTAAAACTTAGACAGCAGCTGTTACACAAAAGTTGCTGTTTTCAGAATTATTGCTTCTGTATTCGATAAATCAGCAACAGTTATTAAACTTACTTGTCATTTCAAGAAAACATTAGCTATGAATACTGTAAAGGCCCTTATTTTCGTGGGCCGTAATTTTCGCTAAAATGAATATATCGGTGATTTCGCGAGCTGAAAATTTCGCGAATATTATATAAGTAGAACTGAAAGTTGAAAAATTTCAAACGTACCTAAGTAAAGTTGAGAAAGTTGAAAAAAAAAAAGTATTTCGCGAAGCTTATTTTCGCGATTACGATCGGCTCGAGAAAATAAGGGCCTTTACACCGTCTGAAAACTTGGCATGTAAAGGTATGAAACTTAACACAGCATAATAACTGTATTTTTTTCTCAATAGGGATCATATAAAAATTATTATTTTGCATTTGCAAAAAAGAATTTTCATAGCTTAGATTAGTTACCATTAACAGATATTGTTTTATACAAATGGCACTTTCTTGTTGAGAAAATATTCAAGTATATGCATGACTTCACAAGTCACATTCAAACAAAATATGTAAACAGAATTATCCATACATACATTCTTTGCAGTTACTACTTACTTTGCAGTTACTGAACAAGAAATATAGGTAAGCCTATATTTCTTGTTCTTCAGTTTGACTGAATGGAATGCTAGAATTTTATAGGGATAAAACCTCACTCTTTTATGTATTATGTCATATGCATGAAACATCAAATTTAGAAAGATCTAACTGTTGACTGTGGTCTGGTGATGGAATGGAATTTTGAGAATTACAAACAGTTTGAATTCATGAGCATTTTTCACTATAAAAACATAGGCACATAAACGTTTTGAATTTCATTAAATAAAAAGCATTCCAATCCATTTTATGTAATGCGTACTTTAAAAAGGTATTGTCAAGCCTCACCATTAATTTTCAGAGATTCGATATTTTCATCACTCCTTATGTAAAATGTTTTTAGCTTCTTTAATATTTCTAAATAAATAATTTTCCCATTTCTTTTCTGTTAATTTCTTTGATCCTATAAGTTTACCCACAACTGTAATTAAATGCATATACTATAAAGCAAGACAATAAAATAATTATTGAAACTTATGAAAGACAAATTGTCTCATATCTTTTATGAATTTTAGCACATTGGTGTTAAGTTTACAGTTCAGAGAATATTGGCCGAAATGAAGCACTTTACGATTCATATAGGAAGTACATTTTAATTAATTAAAAAAGCTAGTTAAAATGTTTTGAAATTGTTGTTCTAAATACTTTGTTTTGATTTAGATATATTTTATATTAAGATTTTTCAATAATTTGAAATTTGATATGAAACTTTAATATTTGTATATTGAGATAGTATATTAATAGTATAAAGACTAAGATAGTATATTTTCAGTTTTTGTTCGTAAAGGGAAGAACAATGAAGCTGAAATAGTGCTGTTAGATCATGGATTATATGAATATTTGCCAGAAAGCAACCGTTTGTCTCTGTGTAAGTTGTGGAAATCAATTATTTTGAATGATCAGAAGAATATGAAAAAATATTGCTCACAACTTGGTGTAAAAGGTACGTAAGGGTATTTATATTTTGTATTGGGGGGGGATTCATCAAATATAATACTGTTTAAAATTGATTTTTTTTAAATGCACCAAAAACATGCTATATTCATAACTGATTCAAAATATTTAGGTGGTGTTCTAGCAGAAAGCAAAAATTGTTATGTAAATTATTAAAGTAAATTTATTGAACCAACTAGATTTCCAGAATTATTCTTTTAGGTGTACAGTGTCTACAGAGCAGCCACTCAGTGCTCACAGATTTGAAAGAAGTGGAATTCTTAAATCTAGTACACAGGAGCCCTTTTGATTCAGCATTAGAGGATGCAGCTTCTATTTCTATGTCACGGCCTCAGGTTCTGTTCCCGACGCTGAGACCTTTTTGCACCGTGCTTTCAATTTGACCTATACATGTCATCATGGGCAAGCCTTTGCTGAAGCACAGAAATCACTGAACAACTTTGAGCCATAAATCAACTATGGTCTGCAGCCACCACTGTGGTGCCCTTTTGGACATGAGAGGAACACACACCTACTCCACCTTCTCACTGGGAAAAAAACTGACAAATTACATCCCTCGTGCCACCCACAGTGCCTCGCTCCTTAAGTGTTCAGTGGGCCCAACTAGCCACACCTAACAAACGGAGCTGAACAGCCCACCCACACGAAGATCAATCACATCACACACAGGGCTCAAAACACGGCAATGTCATCCCTCCTTGTTAGCACAGAGATGCTCAGGAAGGGTGTGCAGCATCCATGGAGCCACTGAATGCCCGTAAATTTGAGAGTCAGAATTCTTGAATCTAATGCTCAAAAATTCTTTTGCCATAGTGGTAAAAGATTTTACTCTCATGTCACGGCCTCAAGTTCTGTTCCTGAGGCCAAGCGAACTCTTGCACCGCACTTTCTATTTGACCTATAGATGTCGCCATGAGCAGGCCTCCACTAAAACACTGAAAGCAATGAACAACTGCAAGTGTTAAATTACCAGAGTTCCATATCCACTACAGATGCTTTTGTGTTCAGTTATCTTAACTATTTTTTTTCCTTCTGTGCTAAAAATCTGTGACCTTTAAATTGATTTGACATTTCAGGAAACAAGCAGAAGTTGCATAGTATACAGTCTGATGAATATGGTAGTTGTGAAAGGAAAAGGTAGTTTGTCCAAAGCAGAAAGCATTTCTAGTGTCCTTTAATATATTATTAGAACTTTCGAAACATCTTATTTAAATTCTTTTTTTTTTTTACCCATGTGCTCCAGCTGGCCATCTCTTTAACCTGCCCTTAATCTAGTATGGGAACAAGAGTTTCCATTTTAACTAGGAATTCAGAAACCAAAAATAGATTTTTGCAAGAAAGTTTTCACATAATAGAACACCTACTTTATGCATCCATAGTTGATATACAAAATGAAAATTCTCCTAGATGCCAGCAATGCTTGTTTTGTTACCATCTCTGCAGAATTTCCTGTAAAAAACTTGATTTCCATCCAGCTAAAGGTATTTTACGGGCTAAACAAGAAACATGACTTTTCACTTTGTAAGATTTATTAAACAACCATGTCTGTCATTTACATCCAACTGACCTTTTATTGCTATGTGCTGGACAATGAGTCAATAAACTTGTTCAGTAAGCATGTTCAAATGCTATGTAAGCGTCTATGATATATTATTTTGAATATCCTTGTAATTGGGGCTATTTTCTGAATTCTTTGTTATCTACTAGCTCATGCAGTTTAGCTGCTTGCAAAATTTTCGATACTTTCTGATTTCCTGCACTCGCTTTGAAAGTCACCAATAGTTGGCTTGAATTTAAATTTTTCAGCAAGCTAAAGACTCAAAAAACAACAGCCATTTTCAAAAGTGGCATCACACTAAGAATTGCACTAAACAGCAACCAATTTAAAAAAATTTAAATTCAAGAAACATTCATAATAAACCACTTTTTTGGGGGGGTCGGATGTGCTGTTCTCTGGATGTACACAACAATCAGTTTTAGCCTAAAAAAAAAATCAGAGAATTGCACAAATTTTGATCCATAAAATTCGATCATTTATGTAGTACAACTTTATTGAATGAAAATACTGTTAGGCAAAACACCCTATTTCTGAAAAAGCGCAACACCTTTCTCTTTCATCAGATAACAAACTCTAAATTCTCATGATTTTTTATAAGAAAAAAAATGCTCTCAGCCAAAAAAAATACTAATGATTATTGAATCTGAAGATAAAAACGTGGCCTTTAGTGGAAATCGGTGTTTGTTTACTACACATGTGCACATACCTGTGTTGCCACATTTTGGCTGTGTCATGGGTTATCTATTTTGGTGAGCAACAGAGCACATTACTTCATGAATACCTTTGGGAAAGAGGTGTGCAGATCGTTTAGAAAACCCCAGATGTACTGGAAGGACGATATTATGTAATTGGATAAAATTCCATCTCCTTAGAAGGGAATTAGGCCACTACTTATTTAAAGAATCTCAATCCTCTGAATATGTTATATAAGTATATTTTTCTGTGCACTCAGCCCCAAATTTTTGGATCCTATAATGTGTATATTTTGGATCACAGTAGGGAATTAATCATTTCAGTGGATGAAGGCCCTGAAATTGTAATAAATGCAGTTTAAAAATGAGAAAATGTTTAAAAAATATGCATTTCATCATTTTCCATGTATAATAATGCAGCAGCAATATCAGATGTATGTGTAAAAATCCTATATTATCCAAATAATATAATTACAATTATGTTTACCAGATGGTGCATCATTTGTAAAAGAACACAAAATGCCTTATAATAAACATTGAATGTGATGGCCATTATTATTAAGTGATGCCTGAATATGAGCTAAGATGTGTAACCAGCAGAATCAAAATTTTTTAAAAACTATTGATATAGTTTGGGTCTGCAAAAATCATCTAAAAGGCTTCTTCCATAGGTGAATTGGATTTTCTTGAGGCTTTTCACATTCACAAAGATTTAGAAAGTTTAGTTAATGATTTGAAGTCCAATCCAGTCCTTCCTAATGCCTTTAAAATTCTACTATCTAATTCAATTATTTTTGCCGATAGATGGCGTTACCCCCCCTCGCGCTTGGTACTACCAGAGGGTATAAAAATCCGTTCAGTGGTTGCTTTCCATTATTTGAAGTTCAGATTTTGAGCGTAAGGTGCATTTGCCCCTCGCTCCCTATTTAACTTCGCTAATATTTCTTGATGCTCGATCAGACCGCCTGGCTCAGTAAAAGTAGGCGTCCAGTGCAACTCTGATTAAAAATCTAGTTATAACCACGTGCAGTGCTGATAAGCACCACGTGTTTCGTGACTCCTTCTCCTATTTTCTTCTTTCTATGTATTTCTTTCTCCTGATGAGAGGGACCTTTAGCTGCCCTCGAAATCGATTGAGTGTTTCATTATACCACGCTAATATAAGGTTGTTTTTACGATTTTGATTGTCACATTAGCGTGTTCTCTTCTAGTCTAACAAAAGAGCGTTGAAGTTTCGTATCAAGGAACATGAATCTTATGTCAAAAAAGGCGAAATTAACAAGTCTTCAATAGCGTATCATAGCTGGACTGTTAACCATAATTTTGAATTTTGGGTCTGCAAAAATCATCAAAAGGCTTCTTCCATAGGTTGAATTGGATTTTCTTGAGGCTTTTCACATTCACAAAGATTTAGAAAGTTTTTAGTTAATGATTTGAAGTCCAATCCAGTCCTTTCCTAATGCCTTTAAAAATTCTATATCTTAATTCAATTATTTTGCCGATAGATGGCGTTACCCTCCTCGCGCTTGGTACTACCAGAGGGTATAAAATCCGTTCAGTGTTTTCCATTATTTGAAGTTCAGATTTTGAGCGTAAGGTGCATTTGCCCCTCGCTCCCCCTATTTTAAAACTTCGCTAATATTTCTTGATGCTCGATCAGACAGCCTGGCTCAGTAAAAGTAGGCGGCCAGTGCAACTCTGATTAAAAATCTAGTTAGAACCACGTGCAGTGCTGATAAAGCACCACGTGTTTCGTGACTCCTTCTCCTATTTTCTTCTTCTTATGTATTTCTTTCTCCTGATGAGGAGGGACCTTTAGCTGCCCTCGAAATCGATTGAGTGTTTCATTATACCTACGCTAAATATAAGGTTGTTTTTTACGATTTTGATTATTGATATATGCTGTAGTATAGTCTTTTCATGTTTTAAGTTATATTGCCATATGTATTTAAATACATGACTTCATAGAGACCCTTGCATACTTAGATTGGACGTTCTAAGGAAATACAATTTTTCCGTGGAATTTAAAAACAACAAACTGCATTCAACCTCTAAGGACATAACTATCCATTATTGGAAGGGATCATCTCCTGGAAATCCTAACGCCCTGTCTAAAGGACCCTGCCCTGAAAAATGCTGATATTATTCCAGGGTTGAAGCAAAATACGAGTTGCTTAATCTGGTCCTCTGTCAAGTTACGAATTCAACATCCTCTGACCCAGAATCATGGAGTGACAAAGAAGTCAAAAAGGACCAGTTAGAAGAAAGCAACATTTAACCCATAACTGAATTAATGGAGTCTTCAAACAAAAAACTACTTGGCAAGATATTTCGATCTATAGTCCTACAAGAAAGCGATACTGGCACTCTGGGACTCACTCCATATTCGAATTGGATGATGGAAAGGCTTACCGATGGCAGCTGATACTTACAAAATCCTGGATCCTGGACGTAATTAGAGCACTACGTAGCAGCCCTACAGGAGGCCACTTTGGAATAATGAAGACTTTTTGATTTTGAGAAATTGCTAGAACAGTCTCGTGCGGCCGATTTAAAAAGCTATATAAGCGGCATGAAAACCTCTCAATTCGTTAGTTGTTTTATGAGTTTGTTTAGAAAACTGGCTGTTGCTGAATTTGCAGTGAAATCGGACTAGCTTTCTGTATTTTGAATTAGTTCTGTTGAACATTTTTAGTAATTAAGACACAATAACACGCTGAACAAATACTAATTCAGAAGTCAAACAACAAAAATCAGCGTTATATTTTTCAAAATTTTCACAGTAAATTTTGAAAATATAATGCTGATTTTTGTTGTTTGACTTCTGAATTAACATTTTTAGTAGTTTAAAAGATAACTACTGTGAGATATTGTAGTAATATCTGAAGAAGTTTAAGCATTTTTGTTTTATTTGCTGTTATAATAATAAATTTTATTCATTTTTTCATTGGACTTGTGCATTCAATTCATAATGAACCCATACACAAGGAAAATTTGTTTTGTAATTATGTTGTAAAAGGAAGAAAATTTGCTCAGTCATTGTGTAAAGTTGTGAACCAGAATAATCTGGAACATAGCCCTTATTATAAAAATATTCACTTACAAGAACTAACTGTGCATTAAAAACACGAAAAATAATTTCATTCCATGATGCCTCTTATCCTTCCAATACAGAGATGTTCAGACAAGCAGCCATTTTGTGCCTCTATGCTTAAGAATGATGCATATATATATATTTTTTTTCCACTACATAATAAGTTATTTCTGAAATTCTGATATGCAGTTAACTAATTTCAAAATGTTTTTTCTGTAGAATTTCAAGAACTATTTCCACATAGGTAACTTGCTTGGAAATAGATAACATTCCTGTAATGTCCTGCGTTGCAACTAATAATATACTTATTAAAACAGTTGGTTATCCATGTTTTAGTCTGTAGTAAGGGTTTTATACTAATATTCATGGTTGGCACAGTATAATTAAAATATCCTTTTGCCCTTCATTGTTGCCTATCAGGCTATTTAAATATGTAGCAAAATTTACTTGAGTTTGAATGTATGATTGATTATTTTTTATCGTAGTACGTATACAAAACAAAATTATAGCATGAATGAATGTTAATTAAATTTTGATCCCATATAATGTATAAATATTATTGACATTCTAACATTTCCTAATTTCATATCAGATCTAAATGTCATCTTCTGATGCATACATGTGTTCCATTTTATTAAGCACATAAAATAATTGCTTTGGGTTTTAAATTATATATTTTTTATTAAATATATTGAAAGACATGCAGTTACTATTTTTTGAAGTTTCTTTAGACTTAATAGATTAACAATTATACTTTTTACTATTAAATAGTTTGTTTTACTTGTTGTGTACTGTATTTTGTACAGCTGCAAGAAATGCTGTTGATTTGTGCAACATTCCTTTGATTTTCACGAAGCTGTCATAAAAGTACTGATGTTTATTGAAATATGGGAAATCTAATAGCAATTAAGAATCTAAATAAAATATGCTATTAAAATGATGTACAAACTTATGCTGTTATTTAGTTTTTATAATACAACTAAAACATCGATAACTTTTAATTGTCTATGATATATTAGTCAAATTTTTCACTATTCAGAATTTAAAATATGTGTATTTTATTTGTATGAGAATTTACAAGTCCATATTTTGTCGGAAATAAGTGTTTTTAAAAGGTTTACTTTCCTTTCTGATGCAGAACCATATTTGCTTGACTTAAAGATTTAACTATACTTAAAATTCTAAAAATTGTGTGGTATATTACGTTACATTTTCAAAATATACTTAATTGATATTATATGACTTTTTTTTTTTTTTTTTTAATCTACAGATTACTACTTATTTTGTGAAATCTTAATGCAGAGACCATTAAATAGGAATCAGTTACACATTCCAAATCGCCTTACAGATGAAGAAGCCAAGTATATGAAGAAGATGGCTCAGGAACATTTTGATAGTATAATGGTTGTTATACGTAGCTTACCTTTACCAATGCTGCTGGTCTTCAGGTAAAAATTCATTTTTTAAAAATAAACTAAAACAAATTATTATTTTAGAAAAAGACAACGGGCTTGCATGCTTATTATCAAAATAAATATATTGTAAAGTCTGTGTCTCTTTGGAACATACAAATTAAACTTTTGTAAAAGGACTATTGAAGTATTATCTTTTAGGCTTGTAAAACAAAACAGAAATCAGAAGACTGTATAAGACCCCTTTATTCAAACAGAAAATTAACAAATGACCCAACTTGGGTTACACTAAGCCAAGCACTTCTGGCTTAACCAAATAACATAACAACTAATCATTTCAAGGTGTGAGATTAGCCTAATGGCTCGCAGAATACTTTAATGCACAGAAAGAGTTCTGGTTTGTAGTAAACTGGTGAGACAAAGCCTAACACCTAGAACACTTGATACTGCTAACACACGTCACTAATAATCACAGCACATAGGCCTGGAATAGGCAGACACGCTCTAAAACTAACTCTCAAAACTCTTGCTTAAATAGCACTTCATTCTACCTTAAACTGAATAAACTCGTGCTATCTCATTTATGTTCTGTCATGAAGAGTGTGGGTGAAAAGAGAGTAATAGGAAAGTGCTAACTTAAAATGAATGATTAGTTAAATAGCTAAATAAAAAATAAGTAGATAAACCTCGTATCTTTCCTAACTACCTAACCTTACCAGAGCTCACCTCTTACAATAAGATTAGATCTTTGAGTGTAAATAAATCTAAAAATTCAAAATTTATAGTACATCTTGTCTCTCTTCTTCACATGTACAACATTTCAACTGCTCACATCCTTCCAGAAAAGGACTTCAGCAAAAGTTCTGCAAACATGATATAAAAATTTCACAACTTTTCATTAAATTTTCTATGTACTTTCATGCCACATATTTATTCAACAATTAAATCTCTTCCCCATGCTCTTCAGAGAACTGAAGTGTAGAAGTGAAAACAGTGTCTTTTGTGAAGTATGTTTACAGACACTACCAACAGTTAGAATATGTTATTATAATTTCACACTTGAGACCTCAATGATACCCTATTTACAAAACTGCATCTAATGTGCTAACGAGAGCATGATTTAACTTTAAATGTTGGTTGGACAGCTAACTTACTCATGCACACATCTAAATTTACTTTAAACTTAAGTTTCTTAATTTGAAAGTTTTCACTTACATTTCATTCATGTAATATAATTAAATTCTTCTAACTAGGCAGGTCTTTTTAAATCAAACATATATTTATGAATGCTTTTCACAACAAAATAAAATACATTGAATAACTATTTACAATAGAATTCAGCTTGCACTTTACATCGAGATTCATGAGTTGCTTTGAATTTTTTTAACATTTGCACTCGCATTTTCCGGTAGCAGTCTCTTGGACTAAAATGACATTCTTCATTCATGATTATGTTAAAATAAACACAGAAAGTACAATTTAACTTGCGAGCCATTTCACTAATTAGGTGAACTAGAATAACTTCACTTGAGGTAAAACTTAAATGATTTTACTAACTAGTCCTTCTAGATATAAAATAAAACTGAACTTTATTAAGGTGAAAATAAAATTGAACTTTTCGATCTTTGATGCTTGTCCATCCACTATTTGATGAACTGTTCCCAGCTGGCGTAGGCCTTCATTTGATGAATTCAAAGCCGCTGTTGGGGTTGGTCCTCTCTGGACTCTCGTTAAGCTTCCTCTTCCTTGCTGATTCCCAGAAACTTGGCCTTTTCCTGTGAAGCTGGGGGTCACTTTTCAAGTAGACTATGGCTTCTCTAACTTTTTTGACTACTCGTATATGTGGTCCCTGAAACTTGGGACAAAATTTGGCAACTAGCTCGTCACCTGCCCATGATTGGGAGTGCTTTATTTTTAGCACTTCGTCTCTCACTTGATTAATTTTCTTCTCTGCACCTCATGTCATAATATATTTTTGTTTTTGCCTTGCCCTATCTGAACATTCAACTGCTTCATCTATTAGTTTCTGGATATCTTTCATTTGGAATTCTGGGGCTGTCTTCTGTATAAAAAATAATTTGGCTAGCGGTGTAATTAACTTTCACCTTCAACTTCGGCCTAAGAATAACTCAGCTGGGCTTTTTCCCTGTAGTATCACGCTTTGCTGTTCGTAATGCCTAAGCTAACTGACCCTGCTATGCCACCACTTCTGATAATTTCTCATGTAACAGCATATTATTTTCACCATGTTCTCATTTACCTGTTATGCTATGTTGACCTGCAGCTGATAAGGTAGCATTTTTGGGTTGCGTATGCAAAGTCCTGTACATAGTCCTTCAAATATTTAGGGCACAGACTGTTTGTCATTGTCAGAAATGTTTCCAAAAATGTTCCATTTCTCTTTTCAGTAGTCATAATAGAAATTCTTGATTTTATCAATAATAATTCTTTTTGATGCTTGAATATCAAACGCATCCCTAGCTTTACCCATAACAGCCATTTTGGCCAGCATGTTGGCCCGCTCATTGCCTATAACACCAAGATGGGCTTTCACCCAGTTAATTTTTATTTCATATATTTTCTCAACTTTTACAAGATCTTTTATATATGAGACCAAAAGCAACATCTGCTAGTGTTTTCAAACCAGTTAATGAGTCTGTATATATAATAATTTTGATGATGAACAAATTTTCAATGATGATTTCCCTAACAGAAATAACAGCATGAAAATCGAACATTCTGCAGGTTCCTCCCTTATATCTCCTTCAACGTGTGCTGGAGAGCTGCATATTTCACATCATTTGCAAAACTCTGTGACGTGCATCTATCTTGAAATTTGCATAATTTTCGGGCCACTTGTTTTTGGGTGCTGCATTTTCAATGTGGGGTAGTGTATATGAAAATATGTCATCCTTTGTTTAAATCAGAATGCAATAATTTCCAGCATTTCTTGTAATGATTGACTGATTCAGATATATTATTTTAGATTTGATATTGGCATTATAAATAGCATTTCCATAACAATTCATTTATCAGATCAAGCTACAAGTGAAACAGCCTGTGTTATGTCGTGTACATAAATGAACCTTGCAACATTTTGAAAATTATATATATTTGAATAAAATTTTTTACATAACTATCTTAACATGCTTGCCAGCAGCAAACATTTAAACCATATTCAGTCTCATTCCAAGTCTGTTAAATAATAGCGTAAAATTTGTTTTGAATATTGCAACCTTTTATTGTGGTGTTAGAGCTCTGAAACCATTCTACTATGCTGGTCAAGATTGATTCTATTATGTTGATTAACCTTCTTGATCCAAACATTAGTAAACTTTCTATTGTGATCTTTACTCCATATACATCCAAGCTTTTGTTTAATCATATTTTAACAATTATTTTGATATGTTCAATGGTTTATGAGGTTGTATAATCACAGTAACCCTTTTCAGTGATTTCAGATGTTAGTAAATTTTAATTTCCTCTCTTTGCTGATATCTGTATTTAATTAAAGCATTTTTGGAATTAACACATTTTCAGTTGACCAGCTGAATTTTTCTCAAACAAACCAATAACTCATATGTGGGGTGGTGGTAGGGGCATAGTTCCTTTATAATTTCTCAGTGAAGCCCATAGAAACTGAACTCATATTAAGTAGTATATGGTCTATGAGATGCTATGACTGATACTTATGACACAAGGTTTCAGGTTTTGACTTGTCTAAATTACATTAAAATTACTTTTTGTTTATGATTACAGTTAAAATATTCCCCATATAGCAAAATTTAAAATAACAGATGTGGATATACTATTCTAAATTACATAACAAAAATGTCTTAACTAAAAAAAATAAAAAATTTTCACAAATTTATATTTCTGCAAAAATTATTAAATATACTTTAAAAAAAACTACTAAATATACTTTAAAAAAAGGTACTAAGATGGCTTTATTCTAGCAAAGCAAGTGCCTGCATATGTTTCAAAACCTACCACAGTTATGTGAATCCACAAATAATATGATTAAAATCTTTATATATAATACAGTATTCATTTAGCATACATAAGTAAAGTAATAAACTATACACAGTAAGTCTTTGTCAACACCACAAAAGTTAATAATAAAAGTGTACTGCACACAGCATTATATGTTTTACAGTGAGCTGTCTCTCTTGTTCACATAAAAGGTAGATATTCTTACATTTTATATTAAACTCATGAAGAGATCAAAATAGTGGAAAGATGGTATAGACCAACGGTTCTCAACCTTTTGACTAACGCATACTATCCAAACAAAATTGGAAAACTTTAGTACTATCACTACATTTTACAATAATTATTTTTCAATTTCTCAATAGAAATATTTAAATATATATATATTTTGCTATATTCGTAACCTATTGGCTATTTATATTAAATATGCACACATAAAAAAAATAGATTAAAAATTGGTTACCATTTTAATTATCAAAATTTAAGTTATAGTGCTTTTGCTTTCCATCAAATCGTTGTATAAACAACATAGCATTGCCTCAAATTGGATATGCATATGTATGTTTTGTAGCTTATAAACCATTTATTCATGTGATTTAACAGGCCCACCCTTAGTCGAGCGGTAAAGTCGCTGAACACTGGCAGTTTGGCCCAAGGTTCAAATCTCGCGAACATGCTGGCGCTTTCGTGGTTTTCCCCATGTGTAACGTGTATACGAGACAGTTTCCCTTAGTCATCCTTCCCCTTAGGCAAATAGCTCTAGTGTGCTTTGCCATAATCTCAATAAACTAAACTAAACCTGTGATTTAAAAAATTTTTGAACTTGTATTAAAACTGGCGGTACTGAGTTAGCAGATATAGGAACATGACTATATATATATTTCATTCCTCTTTTCTTTTGTAATTTTAAAATTATTAACTAGTTTACCTTAGTATAACTAGATACCTTTTTGTAAAATTTTATCGTATATTTTATTAAATATTTTCATTATTTACTAATTAAAATAAAGTAAAAACTAAGAATTTAAAAGAACCTTTTTTGAAGAAATAAGTAATGTTTAAAATGCTCAAAGCTTTCATTTCTTACATTAAATGCAAAAAATATTTTATGCTTGTAATACTTAATCTCTTTCATAGGAACATCAATACAGTAAGATCCATAATTAAATTCCATGGGGATCAAATTGATCGTTACATACTTATGGCTAAAATTGCCACTCAAGGTGCTTATGATAGATTTAATGGAAATCTGTTGCAATCTTTTATTGGATTGATTGATTTGTTAAAGCTTGATATGAAACTAAGGTAAATATATAACAGCTAAAACTTAAAAAAAAAAATCATTTTAAATTGTTTCAGCGTATTTAAAAATATTTTTCAACTTTATTTCAGGATGGATTCTTTGAGGATGTATTTCACAGTTTTGTATCTGCGAATATTGGTATTTCTGGGCCGTGCAAGTGAAAAAAGTGCTACTCAAGTTATAGAGTTATTAAGATAAATATCCTTTACTCTGTATTTACAAGAGATATATGAAATAAATATTTATAATTAGTTTTGTAAAGCGTTTATTAATTTAATTTCATTCCTGTTCTCAGTTTCTTTAAAAGACTTAGTACTGAATTAAAATTTTTAACACCATTTGTTGACATTTCATGCAATCAACAATCTAGTTTATCCAAAAGATACTTAATAAGATTATAGTTAGGTTTCCGTTTGCTAATTCAGTTTTTTTCTTCTACAGTGTCTTTAACCCTTAGCCTGTCGAGTGATTTTCTGCGAATCCCTTTAAAACTGTCGCTAGTTTTGGACCGAACTTCCCGTAAAATGTCGAGAAAATAACCCTAAACCTCTGAAAATTGTTAAGCAGTTCTTTTGTTATTTCCCATCCCTCCCTCAATTTTACTTCAATGATTCCGCTAAGTGAGATTGATTACTAGATATTGTTCGGTAGATGTGAGCTCTCAAGAGAATTGCAAAAGGCTAGACTCTCCATGATGACCGTCTTAATGCCGCAGGGTACAGCTGCGAAAGTTAAAAGTTTCCTTCTCTTAAACAATCTTATCTCTACATATCTTCTCTACATATAATAAAAGAAAGAGTTTATCTGTGTGTGTGCCTTTCGTTCGTGCTGTGCGTAAGCTAATAGACCCATGGCTACGAAATTTGGTACATAGGTACATATACACAAGAGCCAGTGCACTTCGAAGCGATTTTTTCGAAATTCAAATTCGAATTTTTTTTTATTTCATGTTTTGTGACGAAATCGTGTCATTTTGAAACATAATGGGCTATAGGAAAGCGAGATTTTACTCTACACACTCCATTTTCACATCGTCATGAAACGTAGGCACTTAGCTATTTTACGAACTTAAAACAAATTTCGTGTTTCAATAAATCGATTAAATACGAATTTATTTAACAAAGGGAGCTTAACACTTTTTCAATGGGATTTTTTCTAAAAAAGTTTATTTTTAAAAATGTACAGTTTATTTTTCTTTGATTTTTGGACACGTTAAACTTTTATCCTTGCGAATGCTTTTACAAAAAGAATTTTGGAAAAATGATAATATTTTGTATTTTTAAATTAAGCTTCCGAGTACACTTCTCACATCTCACATCTTTAAAAATGTGATTTTGGCAACAATTTTCCTCTCTTATTGCTGTTGATAGATTTTTGATGAAATCGCATCATTTTGAATAGTTTCATTCTTTTAGAAATATGGGTTTGGTAACAATTTTTCATCGTATTTCGTATGTCACTGTTTTTAAGAGATTGGCATATTTCATTGTCATTTTTATATAAATATAATACATTTTTATTGATTTTTTTTTTGATAAAGTTGTTCTTTGGAGTAAAATTCTGAGCGGAATTTTATGTTTTTTGAGTTGCTTTCATGTTATTTTTTGCTTATTTCACTGTTTATAAGATATTGAAAAGCTTTGCATGATTTTTGTTCTTCTACGGAAAGTTGGTTAATTTTTTAATTAGGATAATTAATATTTGTATTAAAAGATATAGCTTATTTCATTGTAATTTTTTCCCTTGAAAATATAAGAAAAAATATCATTAATTATACTTTGCTTTTCAGAATTTTTTGTTTTTTGCATTCCTTTATTTTATTTATCATTTCACTGTTTTTTAGATATTGAAAAGTTTTGATTGATTTTTTTAGGAAACAAAGTTCTTAACCTCCTTTATACCATTTGAGTTCTTAATATTTTGCAAAGGGAATTTGGTTAATTTATTTATTAGGATAATTAATATTTGTATTAAGGGATATTGCTTATTTCATTGTAATTTTGTTATATGTAATAACTTTTCTTATGAAGTTGTTCTGCAGAGTAAAATCCTACTCAGTTTTTAAATTTAACGTTTGGAGTTCCCTTCAGCTAGTTTTCAAATAAATTGGTTTTAAAATTTACCTGGTTAAATTTTTAATTATTATGCATTTTTAACCTAAGTAACCTGAATCTGTATGTCACTGATTATCACCGGAATTTCAATGCAGACTGATTAAACTGCTATCACTAAAATTATATTCTGAGAAATATCTGATGCAACTTTCATTCCTTCTGAGATATTGCTGAAACATTTCGTATTATTTCCGATTTTCTGTATTTTTGTCATTAATTAAAAATCTTTAAAACCTTCAGCATTTTCCTATATTCTTCAACTGCATGCAACTAATAATTATTTTTAATAATTTTTTTCCTTAATTATTACGTAGTTTTAAGAGTAATAAACGAAACATTTGGGTGTTTTTAAGGGTGATAATATTAATATTAAATTTGCATTTTACTTTTTTATATACATTCAAGATATTCAGAAAGGTAATTATAACTTGAAACTGTTTTCAGTGTATCATAAATTTATTGATTCAAAGTAAAAACTCTTGCTTTCCTGTCCAAGAAACACTAGTAAATTTTATCTGAAATTGGAAAGATGAGACATATAACAAACAAAGCAGTTAATTTGGAAGTCAAAGAACAAAAATCAGCGTTATATTTTCAAATTTTCACAGGACTACTTTCGATGGTTTTACCGAACCATCATCCTCAGCTGCAAAAGCGCAAATGAACGAGATAAGATATAATGAAAATTAGATTGTGAAAATTTGAAAATATAATGCTGATTTTTGTTGTTTGACTTCCAATTTAATGTTTGTTCGGCTTGCTATTGTATCGTAATTAAACAAAGCAATGTTGTTACTCATTAGCTTATAATATAATTTATTCAATATGGTATTTTTGTAAAGAAAGAGTGTTGCTGTACATTTGGTAAAGTATAAATAAGCATTGCATTTAATAATAATAAAAGTTATTAATTATTTAATAATTAATCATAAGAATATGAATAATCACATATCTGATGGTTTGACTTTTACCTCAAAACACAAAGAATCCACAAAATTCAGTAAAATTAATAACTTTATTTCCCTGTTGAAAATTCTCTGAATCTTTTCAAATATAAAAGCACACGCGCCAAGCAGTTTGCTTAAAATAAATATATGCAGCAACGAGAAGATGCGCTTTTGACAGCAACTCGTTTCGAAAATCGAAAATTTTTCTAAATGTAAGAGATTTGTCGCTTAAATTAATTTTTCATTAAACAAAAAAAACAAAATACAATCGCATATTATTAAAAGAATTTTATTGATAATTCAGATTCTGAAAACAAGAACATTGTTGTTATAAAAAACAAAGAAAAAATAAGCAACATATTTCATTCAACGGGGGCCAACTTTGGCGCATGAACTTTTCAACATAAATGTATTTGAAGCATGTTATGGATAAAGGTTTATTTGATTATGGCAAAGTACTCGATGGTTATTTGCCTAAGGTGAAGAATGCCTTCGTTCGAGGACTGCCTAACGGAAATTGGCTTGCATACATGTTACACATATGGAAAACTAAGAATATCATCCTGGCAACCAAACCGGTTTGCCGGGATTCGAACCCCGGAACAGAAACCACCAGTTGTTCCGTTAGACTCCGCTCAGTCGATGGTGGGCTGTCCGATAACGGAAAAGTTCAAAATTTCATATTAGAGGAAAAGTAGTAGCATAGTATAATTCGAAGTTATTGCCATTTCAGTAATGTGAAGAGATTTCAAGAATGTTTAATTATTTTATTTAGCTTATGACAAACTAAATAAAATAATTAAACATTCTTGAAATCACTTCTCTTAACATACTGGTAGTTTGACCTGCATTAAAACCCCCGTGAACAAGCTGATTGCATGGGCGTTTTATGATTTTAACTTTTTGTAGTGTGAGATTGTTTCCCTTAGAAAATCTGTCACGAAAGCATACCTCCCCTTAGACAGATCGCCTTCACGTGCTTAATAATCTAACAAACCAAACCAAACACAACCCGAGCGAGGACTCGTAGTCAAGGCACATCATCATGAAAAGCTAACTGAAATTGGCTCATATTCGCATTAAACATGGGCAGCAAAAATGCGCTAAAACTGGTCTGCAGGCAATCCATTCGTCAGGATTTGAACCCGCTTCAAACTATCAGTATTTAACGATTTTACCGCTACTTCGATGGCAGCCTTTTGTAGTATCTATAAGAAAAAGGAATTGCAAAGACACAATCATTGCGTACCGACGGATGAATTAAGTTCGGAATTTAAAGAAAAACTTTCATTCGTGCTATTGCTGTTAGCATTCACATTTGGACAGATGTTAATTTATTTTAAATTCTTTTAATGTAATTAATTCATATCTTTAAATAATTGATCTTCTGACTGTAATTTTTTTTGCGGAGTATATCTAACCCTTCCGTATTCTAACTATTTTAATTCATTTACACTCCATTAATTTTAAGAGATTTTATATCGATAGATTTCTTTCAAAAAATGTTTCAAGGATTACATATTTTTTCTTTAGATTTCAAAACATTTTGGATTTAAAATCTTAATAATAAAATTTTTAAAACAGATATTTCTAGAAATTCCTTTGGCATATTCATTTATTCCATTTAATTGAAGTTTCGAGTAGAAAATCTTCCTTTCAACATTCATATAATTTTTATATGTCAGTTTGCCATTTCTACGGAGCATAGAGCCACACATACGAGTACAAAACTCAGGCATGCTGCACAGTTTTAACATTTAAGAACAGCACAGTTTTAACATTTAAGAATGTAAAAAGAAGAATATAACATTATAATAACGCACATTTGAAATACGAAGGCAAACAAGAAAGCTGGTTGCAACATTTTATATTTTTTCCTGACAAATCAGAAATTGTAATCATTTTTCAATACAAAAATAAAATATTTGATTCTATAACATATATTTATAAAAAGGGCATCCTTCGGTTACAATTCTTATTTGTTCCTTGTTTCTACTATAATTCGGCATTGTAGTATAACAATGTCGGATCCTGTTGACTTTCATTTGTATAAAGTATCACAAGGCAAACAGTGTAAAACGATTTATCTTCTTTTGCAAACTTTTAGTCGGCACACAGATAATACATACCTGCTGTCTGACAAAGATACTTCACTCTAAGGACTTTTTCCTGAAGTGCTCTTTTCAAAGACACTTCACAC